AGCCAGTGGTTCTGAACCTTTTCCGTGTCAATGAACCCTAGATGAAACCTCTATCTGAATAGATTTTCAGTGTTAGATATGACATTAACTCTGTAGTCGTCAACGACAGTTGACAATAAGAGGTAACTGTCACCCTCTTTCCTTGATTATTGGTGTTCCCCAGTTCCTCCAGGCTGTGGGTAACAAGCAGGCCACAACATTTGTTTCTCCCTCTTCATTTAATTTTTACCAACATGGCAACACAGTACTAACACATTCCAACTTAGGGCTACAGCATCTCTTCACTGTTATGCACGAGGCACTCACTCATACCTGTCCCCACAAAACAAGAGCAGGTAGGAGCCAATTAGCTCATAACCAAGGGAACGCAGTGACTCCACCTAAACACTGCACATGAAAATACAAATGAAACAATATAGGACTATAAATGACAATGAAATAATAATTGACCAGTAACTCAATGATGCAGAGTCTATCACTACTTAAATATAAATAATGCAAACAGTAACTTAAGTAATAAAAATAACCCACAAATATAATGTGTGTGGTAATTATGGTTACATAACAATGGAGGAAGTGCAACCTGTGATCACTGGGCTCACTTCTAGTGAAACTATACTATTCCCCATTTTGGGGGGACACCCTGCAACTCCCTCAAGGTCCTTTGGGGTCCCTGGACCTCTGACTGAGAACCACTGGGTTGGCTAATGTAACAATATAAAGAAAAGCAACTTTTAACGAGTAGACCTTGGTCCCCTGATGGGCCCTCCAGTGCCATCTAGTGGTGTGAGATAGGTTACTGCCAATTGGTTAGATTATTATTATTTTAGTAATTTACAAAGCTAGTAATACTTACATTTAGAATTCTAACAGATTAAAAAATATCAAGTCATGATGCATAATTTTAGTGAGCACTTGGATGTCCGTCACATACATCATCAGGGGTGTGTTCAAGCTCCAAACGGTGTGCATTGTTTTGTCACGGTTTAAAGGGTGAACATGTGAAAAGGTGTGCAGTGGGTTTTTCTCTGTGTCAGAGGTGTACACAATCAGCAGCGACATGTATGTACATAAATGTATAGTAAATCTTTACTCGTTAAGTTTATGTTGTGTTAATTAATCATAACTTGCTCTGGTAATGTCACCTTGTTTCACTTGTCAATAAAGCTCCTTTGAATTGAACTGAATTAACTCCCGGAGTATTAAAATGCAGTGCGCATGAATAACACAACCAAGAATACAAGGAACCAGTGTTTGTGTTTACATAGCCGTGTTGTTTCGGTTTGTGAGGATGAACTCAGCCCCGGAAGAGACTAACGTGTTTGCCTCAGTTAGCTCGCTAACACCAGCTTTGGATACAGGCACACATTATGGATCGGTCTATGAAACGAAAAAACGATGAAGAGGAGGGAGACAAGCGGCCAGTGAAGGCTCCAAAGCGTGTGGTGAGGAAACATGACCCTGAATAACCTACGTTTAATTTATATTCACGGTGACAGGCGGTGATACTGAGCTGAGAGTGTGTTGAATGTGATGAAGAGCTGTGAAATGAGAGGCGGAAAATCACTGAGGCTTTACAGACACGGTGCTGCATTCACGTGCTGCTCGGATACTACCACTTCCCGAGTAGGATAGTCCGTCTTCCGACTCGGGCGTATTCACGCGCTTTTAACTTGTAATGTGGAAACAACATGGATGCTACAAGGAAGATGTGTTGTAGTGTATTGATCAGAGCATGTAAGAGGGTTCACACGGTCAGGGGGAACCTGTATAAGTCGTGTGATTTCACAATTACATTTTCTTGGCCTGAAGAAGTGCTGTAATTGTGTTGTGTACGTGAATGGTTACAATAATGTTCCGCATATAACCGTCCACCTGTAGAATGGGCAGCATCTGTAGCTGTTAATGTAGCTCTGATATGCATCAGTATGTGACAACGTTTTGCTTACCATCATATACCTTTCCTCATTTTCTCCCTGGGTCCCTCTCTCTTTCACTGTATGCCAGCTAGCTGAAATTATGTTTGAATACAGTTTGAATCTGTTATGTTTAAAAACACAGGGCAAGTGGGTCAAGAAAAAAAAACTGGGTCCTTGGAAAGTCGTAAAGAGTTTGAAAGTTGTGTCCATAGAAATGTGTGGGCACCCTGGTTTAAAAACATGCGGATAACAGTTTGAAGCTTTATATAGTGTTGATTTTGTCTCAGACTTGTTTCTGGATCAGTGAGGTGAAGTCAGGTAATGTGGGACACTTTTTAGTAGATCACTAAGAAAATCACTTGAAACTCTTATGACTACCTTGAGTGTTTTTTTTATAACTTTATATGGATCTCTGTGATACTTCTATAAAGAAAATGTGCTGCCAAGTTAGATAATATAGAAACTTTGAACCGTCAATCACATCAACATCCCCATCCTCACTCTGATCACATGTTCAGGTAAAAGGGGATGCTAATGTTAGTATGTTTTTTAAATGGTAGAGTCCATGTATCAGTTCAGTCATTCAATCGTTCATGTAACCTGTGGCTATTCATTAAAAAAGATTCTGCCATGCTCTCCCTGTTCTTTTGCTGCTTGTTTCCTTTCCTTGCTGTCATCGTGTCTACAGTGTACACGTGCATGTGTGTAACAGTGATGGCTAATTGTGGACTGTTTTGGCTGAGAGGATCTCACTGCATCATCAATCATATTTTTTAAAGAGGCAAAAATACTAAAGATTTTTTAGAATACATCATGATTTTATGGCACCCAGTGGCCTAAAAACATGCTGGTGGTTTCACCTTTAAATATGTCGATATTTTAGCTTAATTTTTTTGTCCCATTTCACCTAAGTACACCAAGTCCTCACTCAAAACCCTTTCTCATACAAAATAAAGTGTATTGTAAAAACATTTTGATTATTAGTCAAATACTTAATAAAATGCAACATCCTGCAACCATTTTTGTTGTTATACCTTTAATGTTGTAGCTGCAGCACTCGTATTATCAAAAAGATCAAATCAAAATGCCACATGGTTTACCTTGCGTGTTCAGGGATCAGTGGATTTTTCAGACCATTAAGAATTATTGTTTCATGTAAAGCACATTTGTATTAACGCAACATGTTTGGTGACTGGCTGCTAATATTTAAAGAGGTGTGAAACCTATGTTGTCCCACATTACCTGACTACACCCTACATTCCATAAAACCACTAAAATGTTGCTCTGCCTGTCCTTGTCATTAGAGTAAGTACTATAAATAACTTTTCTAACTACGGCATTGTAGATCACTTTAGGTGGACAGCAGCTAAACAACCTAACAACCTAATACCATAGTAAAAAACTTTGAGAATTGAATTGCAATGTGTGGATTATTAAACGTTTCTTACTATTTACTAAAAATGTACTTTCGTTCGCCATGTTTCTGCGTGATATGAAGTCAACTGGGCAAGTCATATACCAATATTTTTCCTGACTTTCCCAGTTGTTCAGACTAGAAGGGGTGTTTACATGAATTTTCCCAGTTGGAAGTTCATTTTTGTCAAACACTAAAGTCACAATAATGTTTCATAAGGAAAATGGATGAGCAGCAGGAACAACAGAAAGTCTTCCCCCTTCTTTGACACATTTTTTTATCATTTATCTTGGAGGGTGATCCTCAGATTTCAGTAGTGGTAATCAGTAATGTGCCTTACAGTAGAGAGCCCCTACTCTATGATTGAATCATGGGGCCTGCAGTGACTTTAGTGTGAAGTCAGGCAGTCCCTCTGTTGCCCACCAGAGGGCATCATTGTGTTGAATAATAAAGGCCCCAGCTCCCTGAGAGGAAAAGGATAACATCAGTGGTGAGTCAACTCTTCCTGGGCTGCGGGGCGGGTCTAGTCATGCCAAAAAAATCCAGTCAGTTGGTTCTTCCTGTGTTGCATGTTAGGAATATCATGTAGACAAATACATAGATATCTAAACATGCACTGAACCACGCTGTTGATGCAGTTTATATGGACTCATGTCACACTGACACCTTTACCCTGTCATCACTCATGTCATCACCATCTGTGTCAAATCTGTGTTTATGAATCTGATAGTAGATGATATATAGAGAGAACCTGATAAAGTACAAGACCTTACTTGCTCTATCTTAAATACACATACACCTCCTGCAAAACAAGCTCCTGTGCCAGCTAATAGTCTGATCGGTCATCAAAGAGAAAGTTTTGTCAGCGGGAGGGGCAACACATTTTGCTCCGAGGGGGCAGATCACATCAGTCTGTAGTCTCCAAACTGAGGACTGAGGGCGCAGAAGGAAACTTTTAAAAGTTCATCCACCCGTGTTGTAAAGATGCCACACAAGAAGAGAGGCCATGGGCACAATAAAAACGCCAAGGACGCGAAAGAAGTAAGTTTTCCTCTTTCATTGGTCACAGGCGCACAGAATGGATCGATCAACTGCAGAATGTGTTTTACAGACGCAAATCGGCAGATGCGTTTTCCAAGATAACAATGCAGAAGTTTACATGACTGCTTTGGATACATGTGTGCAAGCAGGAAACATTTCTGTGGATAGGCTGGAGTGTGTGTGTGTGTGTGTGTGGGGTGGGGGGGNGGGGGGGGGGGGGGGGGGGGGGGGGGGTTGCACTGGGTGTTACTGCTGTTAAGCTCAACTCTGCTGATCGCTGCATCCATTAACCTTGTCTATAATTCACCATCATCACTCGATCAATAGTCACCATGGCTGTGTTTTCCAACCAGTGATCAAACTATGCGTCCAACCTCCCCAGCAGCGTGCGTTAAGCTGGTGACAATCACATTGCGCATGAAGTTCCTTCTTTGGAAAACTGATGATGGGAGTGAGTGAGTGGGTGGTGTGTACTATATTCAGATTAAAGCTTGGTTCTGCTGTGGATATGCGGAAGAGCCAGAGATCCCGCTGTAAAACAATACCAGCCCTTTTTTTATTAATCAGCCTGTGTCAGAACACTCCTACAGGACATACACCTTTGTATACTGATTGTCAGAATTGTATGGGGAGTGGCTCAGTGTTTAGTAAGGCATGAGAGAGAAGATCTTGCGGTGAGGGACCGGAGAGAGTGGCAGTGCAGGAGTGAAACTTCATAATTCCGGGACAGAGTTCTCGCCTCCTGATCCGACATGGCGTATGGATTGTACTGGTGCATCATTGTGAGTACCTCTCCTGCTTTTCAACCCCCTTTCTCCCCTGCTTCACCCTCAGGCAACACGCTGAAATTACTCTGAAGTAAGGCTTGGCACCTGGAAAGGCGCTGCATGCGTTAATGCGCTGCAGGAAAGCAGCACTACTTGTCTGGAAGTGTAGAAGCTGCTGAAGGCGCTGTAAGACTTGGCATAGGCTGCACAAGATAACCTTTGAGTTGAAATAAATAATTGTAAAGGCTTTGCTCATATTCTGTCACACACACAGTGTTTAGATACCAGGGTGTGTGACTGTTTAAACTGAGATAGGCTTCAACAAGCACACTTGTGTCAGCTTTGAATTAGTCCCAGTTATTCATGAGGTTAGAATCAGATATGGAACACGCTGCAGTGTTCTGTTAACTTACCCCAAACTCCTTTTGCAGTACGATTTTTGTATTTTGTACATTTTCTACAATTAAAATTATACTGAATAACAGTTAATATTGCTTAAAGAAATACCTAAATATAATAACATGCTGACAAACATAGAATTTGACTATCAAAAAGCAACATTTCTGCATTGAACATTTGTCATCAGATGTTAAAAGAATAAACCCACCAACACAATAGGTTGAAATCACTGCATCCTGTACAGACGTCCCTGTGAATTTATTGCCAGAAAGTGATTCATCACGTACGATAACAAGCTGGTGCATGTGTGTCTTTGTGTGTGTAGTATGGTGGGGGAAGAGCTGCTTACCAACTTCAAGACCATCAGCGTAGCAGCCCGTTTTCACCCAACTATCCCACTGTGGGGTACTACTATGTCCAGGTACTGACTTCACCTCCTCCTGCTGCATCAGAGATGCACGCTGAAACCAAGGAGGTCATGGTTTGTGTTTTTTCCACATGTGCAGAATCTTGCAAGATTGATTTTTAAAGGAATTCTGTTGCACTAAATGTGGGATATTTAGTTTTAATATATCATCATTTCTACATTACAAACTTTCTAATTGCAGTGATCATGAACATTTTAGGGCCCAGAATCGGGGCCACAGGTCAGAAATGTAAACTTTGTGACATATCTGCATCACTGTAGAAGATGATTTGAAGACCAACCTCGTGTTGCAGTGCATATGTAAAGGAAACTCAAAGTAGGTGTTTGTCTCCCTCTGCTGAGTGCAGTTACACTTGAGCTTGTAAATGCTGATTTGTGAGATTAGCGCTGCTGTCTGTCAAACCGCCGCCTGAGAAAGTAGCCTGTGTTGACACTTGATGATGAGGTGCAGTGAACCCAGAAATTCCTGAGCTACTTTTACCTTTACTAGGCAAAACTTTTATCTTTATGAGGAATTTGTAAAGATTTCAGGCTGCAGTCTCTCTGGGAACAGGGCCCTGTGTACGTGAGCCAATGTGTGAAATGGTAATTGGCAGAGTATGTAGGCGTCTGAACCGCTGTGGTGGAGGTAGTGGTGACTGTCTTACGACATGGATCTAAATATAAAGACGACTGCCAGCTTAGCAGTGGAGTCCAGTTACATTTGCACACTAATGTTGCACTGGCACTCACAACCACGTTTATGACAACATCTGGCATGTCCTCATTCATTCTCATTCATATTCAACTAGCTTAATTCTCTCAGGTGTCCTATTTTAAATGTGATACTAAAAAGTGATGCTACTTCCTGTATTTTTCATTTTTTATTTTTTGGGAGGTTTCAGTCAAAGACATATGGTTTTGTTTTTCATGGTGCACCAGCCAGTTTTACAGGCTGGGCCATTTGACACTTCGCATCAGAAAAGGTGTGTCTGTCTGTCAGACAGGGAGTGTGCAATGCTTTTTGGGCCTGTGCAAAAGCCTGTCTGTGCATGTGTACACACACATGTGCAAGCATGAGCATTTGCAGAAGTGCATGAACAGTGCAATATGTGCAATAAGTACATACATAGCCCTGCAGTATGTACCTACTGCCTGTGCTGTACATGCTTTGTTTATCTTTTTTTTTAAGTCATCTGGAACAGAAAAAGAATCGAAAAGCAAACTTGTATGACTTCATTCCTTTTCTGTGTGAACACAGTGGCTGATAAGATGGAACAGTTTTCAAAGCATGACACAGTGGACCTCCTCTCTGTCAAGGCTGCGAGCAGACAACTGCTGATCCCAAACCCCAACACTACAATGTTAAAATGATTGGATTTTTTGCATGCATGTCCGTCAGTATTCAACACAGAGTAAATGTCTGTATGTGAATGAAAGTGTTAGTGTTCCAGGAATATAGGAACTATTTTGAAGGGACATTCTGAGCCTTAGTAATGTTTTGTGTTGTGTGATATATTTTCATAGATTTTATAACTTCTTAGTCTTTGTCCTAGGTTTATATGAGGGGTGATCCTGCTCTAGGTTTTGCGGCTTTGGGGCCTGCAAACAGGAAGCATTGAGTTAATTTGTTGTTAGACAAAGTAGCACCATTAAAAGAGTACCGAATAAGTAGGGGTGTAAATCACAAGTTTCATCACAATACAATTTACTATTGATTCTTTGGATAATGACGTGATATTTACTGATATCACAAAGTCTTCAAGTTAGAATTTTGACTTGATTCAGTTCAGGGGCCTGTGATGGATATGAGATATTAGTATCCTCATTGTCTTGTTCTTGGCTGCTTGCCATTATCTGCCTGGCACTAGGCTACTAGCGCTGTTTGAATATTTGGGAAGTAGGAGTGCTTGGACGAAAATGGTGACACAGATATGTGATGGGAATTTCAAAATAAAGGTGTATCTTAAAGATGATGATATTTTTTGGATACATTATTGGATCATTTAATCAACATATCGATCCAGATCAATGGGTCATTACACCCATAGACTGTAAAAATAATGGATGTAGCTACCGTGACATCACCCATTGGTTTGTGGACTCCCATTTTGAAGCCTTGAGTTTGGCTTTTCTGCTGTCGCCATCTTGGTTTTTGGAGGCAGAAGTGACCATATTTGGGCAAGAGGCTGTCACTGTGGTGGACAGAGGGGTGGATCTGACTGTGAAACCTAGGACACTATCTGCAGACAGCCTGTCACTCAAAGTGGCCTGCCCTTAGTTGTGCGGAAATTTTAGCCTCAATAGAATGTAAACGGGTGAGTTGTAAAAAACATCCACTTCCTGCACAGTTGTCATGAATGCTGAAATTAGCTATAGAAACCAAAACTGTGTTTTGTACCAGGCTGTAAACATGTTTATTTCTACTGTAAAGTTGGGCATTTTAACATGGGGTTCAATGAGGAATGACTGGCTTGTGGAGCCAGCCTCAAGTGGTCATTAGAGGAACTGCAGTTTTTGGCACTTTGGTGATGGCTTCCTTTTTCAGCCCTTGAGGCTGCCACTTGGTTACACCTCTACAAATTAGCAACTAGAAGTTCAGTTATGTAATGTACTCATGGATGTAAAGACAACTGTCACCAGATTATTCTGATATTGGAGAAAACTTAAAAACGTGAACATTCTCAGGCAGTTTCTGAAACCATATATTGTATTATGATTTCTGAGGAGATTTATTGACATTTATCAGCAGTTGAATATCAGAGATAGTTATGACTGTCTCTTTCACCTCTTTACCTTTGCCTTACATCTCTTCCGCCACGCCCCCACCCCCAACTCTCCTGTGCAGCTCACAGATGTCAAACCTCTGGAATGTTGTCTATGACAGTGGATTAACATGTAATTCAACTAAATGCACAACAATTCTCAGTTTTTTCTTCATTATATTACCTTGAATTTTATTGCCACACTACTTCTGTATTAATAATGGGACAGTTCGCCCTCAAATCAAAAATAAGTATTTGCTGGGGTCAGGTTGAGGTCAAGACTGCTGGCAGGCCATTCCATCCTCTCCACTCCCAAATTCTGGAGGTAGTCTCTGATAAACCTCGCTCTGTGGGGGCGAGCATTGTCATCTTGGAGGATAAAGTTTGGTCCCAGACTGTGGAGATTACCTCCAATGATGACAAGCCTTGTTTTTTCAGTGAGGGAGATGCCGATCCACACCATCACACTGCCTCCACCAAAAGATGTTACTCTATCAGTGCAGCAATCAGCAAAGCATTCTCAATGTCTTCTCCACACTTTGACCCCATGATCCAACTGCCATAGGCAAATCTGGGCTCATCACTTAACATAACATTCCTCCACATGTTCAGGTTCCAGTGCATGTATTGCACAAAAGGGGCCTGACAATGAAGGGCAGTCATGGCACATGGCTGCCTCCTGGCAGCCCTATGATACCGGAGATTGGTTGTGTGCAGTCTGTTCCGGATTGTCTGGGCAGAGAGCCGTATCATCCTGCAAACCTTGACTGCAAATCTGTAGAAGACTGCCTACGGTTCCCTAAGTGCTGAGAGGATGAGGAAATGGTCCGCTTGGGATGCCCACTTCGCAGCCTGTCTCTGACATCCCCTGTTATATGGAACTTGGCCTTCAGTTTGCAGATGGTACTAGGGCTCACTCCAAATAACTTGGTTTTGCGGAACACCAGCTTGAAGTTGCCCTATTGCACAGGCCCTATCCCGATCAGTCAAACATGGCATGCCGATTCTTGGAGCAGACACCAACTGACCACTGTAGCAGGGCCCATGCTCAGGCAGGCACCCAATTTTCAGCACCTGGGGGTACCAGAAGCTCAAAACAAGAGTCAGTTGCAACAGCATAAAAAAAGCTGTTTGGCATTTGGCAGAGAAGATTTCGCAAATTTTTCATGGGCGCAACCCACATACTCAGCTCTGCTGCTTATCCCACAAATGCATGTTCCTTACAAATGTGGCACCATTTAAGAGGGAAATAAACAGGCTTTCCAACGGTATAAGATTTATTGCCAAGAAGCATTGTTACAACATAGAAATAATCTACCAAACACAAATTTACTTACTTTTTGTGCTTAGTTTAGATGGCACTCAGTTTGTGGTGCTCAAAGCGGCAAATCAGACATTTAAAAAAACTCAACAGTAATGTCTCTTTCCAGAAATCATGACCCAGTTACTCAAGATAATCCACAGACTTTCTTGTTTTATGCAGGAACTATTTTCTTCTACCGAACAACACCTGCCAAACAAAACGCCGCACAGAAGGAAGTGTGCATCTACTGCTAGCTTACCTAGCACCATTGAGCTTGCTAATGTGACAGCTTAGCCAAGGAGGACGCCATTAATGTTTACATCTCTTGCTGTTACAAGCACAAGCCTCGCGTCCACTATGCAGGATCTACTCACGGACAAAAGGCTTGTGCTATGTGAGCTAGCAGTAGATGCACTCTTCCTTCTGCGCAGTGACATGGTTGGTGGGTGTAGTTTGGTAAAAAGAAAATAGTTCCTACATGAAACTGCTCACAACAAGGTCTGAGGATTATCTTGAGTAACCAGATCATGATTTCAGGAAAGAGACATTGCTGTTTAGTTTTTCAAATATATATTTTTTGGCACTTTGAGCACCACAAGCTGAGTGCCATCTAGTTCCATTATATTGGAGAGAAGGCAGACATCTCTACGTCTGATATCTCCAACACTCAGCAATTCACACAATCTGGATTGATTTATAGCAGTACAGGTAAGAGGAAAATGATGTATTTTTGATTGGGGGTGAACTGTCCAGTTAAGATACCAGACAGAAAATTAATATATTTAATCTTCAATATTTAATGTTTACTACTTCTGTGTGTTTTAATTTAATCATCCATGTCATCTGGTATTAATCTATTTTTATATGTCTTAATTCTGTAAAGAAATCCAACATGGTTGTCGTTTCTTACCAGTCAGTTTTAGTATCATATTGGCACCTACGACAAT